GGACCTGAGCTGGAGGCTAAGTAGAAAAAAACAACACTTCAAAGCATCCTACAGAATGGTCCATGAAGATATCGGCGCCTCCACCACTGGCACAGACACTGCTGGAATAAAGGAAGGATGAATGTTCTGGCAATCAAGATAGAATGGATGCTTCCAAATAAAGAAAGGAAAAAGAAGCAGGACCTCAAAGTTTCATTTTGAAAACATTTAATATCTTTCGGCCTTAACATGAGAAAGTGAAAACTCAGCCACGTAAGCTCAAAACCTCAGCGTCATTGTTGACTCCATAATAGTAATCCAAGTCAAAATACACTTGGATAAATACATTGCCCTCCTAACAGGACTTCTGGTTTTAGTCTTCCACCTATAACCAACACTACATCCACTGGAAGAGTAACCTGCTATTTGGATTACGGTGCTTCCCTGCAAAGAAATTATGCATACATTACCTTTCAAAACAAATCCAAACATAATTTGACATCATTCACAGCACTCTGTGGTCTGTTCTGGACCTACACTCCAGTCTTCTCTCCCACTACTCATCTGGTCAAATGATTTGCTTATTGAGCCCTAAGCATACTTGGCAAATGGTTTTCTTTCTTCTGCACCTTTATTCTCACCATTCTCTCTTCTGAGATGCCTTTTCACCTTTTATCTATCTAAATCTCACATTCGTCCTTTAAAATCCAGCTCAAAACTCACAGAACACCTAACAATACCACCAACCTACTTTGTGATCTTGAGAAAATGATTACATTTCTCTGAACTTAAAAAAGTACAAAGCGGAACATTGTATTTTGTATTCGTATTACACAATGTATACAATTAACATTGCATTTTTATTACATTTTGCTGAAAACTTTGTATTAGGAAACCACATTGTCTACACTGTGCTCTAGTGGAACTGGAAGCTCTAAACCTGTAGTCCTGAGGCACCGGGAGGGTGAGTGCAAGAGCACGGTAATTCCGGTGACTTCTTTGCTAATGAAGTAGGACTCATTTTCAAGTCCACCCTTTATCAAACAGATCTCTATGTTGCAATCTAACATACAGAAGACTGTATCTCATGATAACCTTTTCTTCCAGTGCTTTCAAACAGTGAGGCTTTAACACTTACATGAAACAGTTCTGAAAATTAAAAACACTTCCATCTCTTTTATTCTCTCTGAACAGACAATATGTTTTAATGGAGCAAATTCTCAACTTTCAGACTGCAAATTCAAGTGCATAATAAATATTGCATTTCTTGGGCTGGGCGGGGTGGCTCACTCCTATAATCCCACCACTTTGGGAAGCCGAGGCAGGTGGATCACTTGAGGTCAGGAGTTCGAGACCATCCTGGCCAACATGGTGAAACCCTGTCTCTACTAAAAATACAAAAAGTAGCCGGGTGTGATGGTGTGTGCTTGTAATCCCAGCTACTCAGGAGGCTGAGGCAGGAGCATTACTTGAACTCAGGAGGCGGAGGTTGCAGTGGGACGAGATCAAATCATTGTACTCTAGCCTGGGCAACAGAGCGAGACTCCATCTCAAAAACATCTACATCTATATCTATCTATGTATCTATCTATCTATTGCATTTATTTAAATAGACTTAATTTTAACTGTACACCTTCATTTAGTTGGTTTCTGGGAAGCAATTGCTGCCATTTTGGTAGTTCTCTCAGTATGAAAAATAAAATTAAGTCATTCTCCCATTATAGAGAGTGTGGTGGTTAATTTTATGTGTCACCTTGACTGGATTAAGAGATAACATGACAGCTGGTAAAGCATTACTTCTGGGTGTATCCATGAGGATGTTTCTGAAAGAGACTGATTTTTGAAGCAGGGACTGAGGAAGGGAGATCTTCCCTCACTCAATGTGGGCAGGCACCATCCAGTCACCAAGTTCCTGGATAGAACAAAAAGGCAGAGGAAAGGAAAATACCCTCTGTCTCTCTCTTCCCCTCCCCCTCTCTCCCCCGGGAGCTGGGACACCCATCTTCTCCTATGCTTGGACATTCGAAGTCCACATTCTCCCCATTCCAACCAGAAACTGACACAAATACTATCCTGGCTGGGTTGTAGCCAGTTTTCTTAATGTATGTGCTGATTTCCTTAATTATTTCTTCCTATCTCTTCTGGCTATAGGATGGCTCAGTGGAATCCATTTTATTAACACCAACAATTAGTTGTTTCACACCCTGTGTGTAAGGCAGAAGAGTACGATCTGTCCGTTCTTGGAGATACCAGCTTCAAATTTGCCAACACCAACAGCAATAATCAGGACAACACAGACAACCTGATATGTCCCTATAATCATGTTTTTGATAAAGTCTCCCTGGCCTGAGGCGTCAGCGATAGTCACTTGCTGGTCTCCAATTTCCACAGGGAGGTATCAAGGGTAAGTAATATCACATTCACACTCAGCCTTCAGTTTATCCAACACCCAGGAATAGTGGAAGAAGCCCTTTCCCATCTCAGTAGCCTCCTTCTCGAATTTTTCAGTGGTTCTTTTTGATGCCACCACATGTGTAGATTGGATGGCTAGTAGTGGTGGACCTGCTCGAATCTACGTGTCCAATGGTGACAATGTTGATATGGGTCTTTTTCTTTCCCATTTTGGCTTTTAGGGGGTGGTTTTCATGACACCTGTGTTCTGGAAGCAAACCTGCGGCAATAGGAATCTATATGTATTGATATACATATACATATATTTCTATTCTTACTATAAGTAGTGCTTTTGGTGGCGGAGTTAGGCAGTCTAAACAACACTCTGTTTTCTGCTATTGCTCCCAGTTTTACCTGTGGTTAAGTTGGCCATATGACTAGGTTTTGGCCCACAGGATGTGGGGAGAAATGAAATAAGTCATTTCTATGCCAGCCCTTACAAATTATCTCAGACAATCCTCCGTGCTCTCCAAAGTGACCTTGGAAGCCACATGTTTCAGATGGAGTAGCTGGGAACAACCTGGGTCTTCAGTCTCCTGCCTTTGCAAGAGCTCCCGATGCACATCAGACTGCCATGTGAGAAGGAAATGACCCCGTATTGTGATTAAGTCCCTGAGATTTGGGGGTTTGCTTGCTCAAGCAGCGTATCCCATTCTGTCTCAACTGATACAATCACTGCATGCACACTACGTGTCAACCACTACTCTGAGTGCCCATACATTAACTAATTTTATAACGAGATACACATATTAGCAAATATCATAACATCATGGTAACAGAATGATACAGAAGGACATGCCTAAAATGGCCATTGAACCCCAAATTTACCACACATGTCCTTCCAGTATTTCTTCTCCATTCTTTCTGCTTGTCTAAATCTCACCCTAAATTTCATTTCAGTTAAGGAACAAAGCGGCAAACGAGATACGTTAAAGTAAAAAGGAAGAAGTTCTAGTGTGTGTGTTTATTTTATATAAACATGTGAATCCAGTCTATTTGCTAAGAACTTCTTAAGAGTTGTGGAGTCCTAAAACCTCTCCTGCTGATAGAGCCTGGTAAATTGACTGCAGAAAGTGGGTTAATTTTGCCTTCTCTAAACACAAGCACCACTGCTGTTTAGGTGGGCCTCCAAATGGGGAAAGAGTAGGTCCCGTTGTTCTAGTGGTGTTTGTGAGTTGGACCAGGATTATAGCAGTTGTCGTAGGATATAGCCTCAACTTGATTTATCTTGGCCCTTCCTACCACCAAGGATTCTTAGGACCATACAAAGTATGAGAGAAAAAGGAGACTGTCGACAGCTTGTGACAATGGGCAGCAAAGATGTGGGAGCTGGTCCCTTTGCAATGCACACAATTTGGCTCACCCTTACAGAGGAGGACGCTGGCAAGCTAGAAACTAGTTCGGTGTAGGCACCACTAAGAAGAATCACCATGCGAATTTCTCAAAGCCTAGTATATATATTTTTTTATTGAACAGGCCAAGTTACAGAATAGGATGAAGGTGGGGATTATGTTTTTAGTCTAAAACGGAAGCAAAGAGAAACAAACCAGAGTGTGAGCAAAAAATACCTCCAAGTAGGGGGAGAAAACCTCAGAACTGGGGGGGTGGGGAGGAAAGGGAAGGTACAATTTTGAACATGACATTGGCTTAAAAGATTATAAATTGTAAGAGGCATAGAAACTTCAAAAAAGAAAGAAAAAACTCAATTGCAAAAGCTTTTAATGATGGGAAGGTTGAAACAGAGTGAAGAAAAGCAGTGGTGTGCTGCTCAAACAATGGTGTATGGGTAAGTGTTTAACAACGGGCTCTTCCAAAATCAGTGTGTTCATATGCATGTTTCTTATAAATTTTACTGTGAATAAATGCTTCATTACTATCAATCCTATCTATTTCAACAAAGAAGCTGCTCACATCACTAACCTATGAGTTTAGCTCTGACATGAATATGGGTTGTATTTTCCTGCACATTAGTGAATAAGAGAAAAGTAAAACAATGAAAATGTACATTAGGAAAATTTAAATTAATGAAGATGTGCAAGACTTCTTTACTGAATTAGATAATAGTTTTCAAATACTGAGAGAATATTTTCTCAATTCTCTATGTTATTCACAATGTAAAACCACAGACAGAATACACTTTAAAATTTAATCTGTAGTATTATTTTTTTCCATCACTTTCTTAAGATTAGATAATCAACAAAAAACAAATCAAGCCCTGATTTGTAGTGTGTGCTGATTTCTACAGTGGAAATACTGCCACCATAACTAGTTTCAAGCTATACCAGCAACATGTCCCTGAACACAGAGTTAGAAAGAGAGGCGCAGTAGTACCTCATTGTATGCATAGTGTTTCCACCATACAAACGTAATGGACGAAAAAACCAAGTGCATCGAAAATAGTTCTTTATGCTTAGTAGTCACAGGTAATCTCTGAAGTCCCCCAAATTTCTAGCACTCCCAATCCCTTCAAATCTGATGAATCTGATTATGTTTAGGTGGCATGAATTATTTAGGAGCCTGAAACCTCTCAAGAGAGTGTTAGGAAGGGACACTGAAGGGAAAACACTTACCTCTTCCTGCTCTCTAGGCATGTCTCTCCTCCCATTTTTGCTTCTCTGAGGCCCTCTCTTCTACTCCAGGCCTCCCAGCAAAACCTGGTTTTCTTATAAAACCAGAAGAGCCTTGAATTGCCAACATTTCTCCTGCTAACATCCCCAAGGCAAGGTTACAAAAGCTGGCTGTCTTTTCAATGAGGACAGAAGAGAGAAGTCTGGAAAACATAACATAAATCGAGAATGTATCTCACTTCAGGAGTTGGTACAGCTGAAGCAAGGCTTCAGTGTGAACACTGACAATGGGGCCACATGTTCGCAGCCAGTAACGTATTAGATTAGCAATCCCTGGCACAGTTTTTCTAATTGATACTAAAATACCCGAAAAGACTTTATCATATATATATAATATATACATATATACTTATATATTTATACTTTTCTTTTTCCTTTTTTTTTTTTTTGACAGAGTTTTGCTCTTGTGGCCCAGGCTGGAGTGCACTGGCATGATCTCAGCTCACTGCAACCTCCCCCTCCAGGGTTCAAATGATTCTCCTGCCTCAGCCTCCAGAGTAGCTGGGATTACAGGCACACATCACTACGCCCAGTTAATTTTTGTATTTTTAGTAGAGATGAGGTTTCACCATGTTGGCCAAAATGTTCTCCATCTCCTGACCTTGTGATCCGCCCGCCTCAGCCTCCCAAAGTATTGGGATTACAGGTGTGAGCCACCACGCCCAGCCATATGTATACTTTTATATACATATACGCATATATAATATATACATGTATATACTTACAACATATACATATCTACTATATATAATAGATATACTATATTATATATACATATATACCATACTGTATATACATATATACACTGTATGTATATACATGTATATACTTATTATATATACATATAAGTATATACACATATATGTGTACATGTATATATGTATATACTTATAATATACATCTATATACTTACAATATATGTATATATTAATAATATATGTATATATTTTATATATAATATATATGTGTATAACAATGAAAACCCTCTAGCCAGAATCATAAAGGAATAATCACTCTGGAGTAGAATTAAAGGGCATAGTTATGGTCAATACATACTTTACTACATAAAAATAAAGGAGGGGCTGGGTGCGGTGGCTCAAGCGTGTAATCCCAGCACTTTGGGAGGCCAACGCAGGCAGATCACCTGAGATCAGGAGTTCGAGACCACTCTGGCCAACGTGGCGAAACCCCATCTCTACTAAAAATACAAAAATTAGCCAGGAGTGGTAGCGGGCGCCTGTAATCCCAGCTACTTGGGAGGCTGAGGTAAGAGAATCGCTTGAACCCGGGAGGCAGAGGTTGCAGTGAGCCGAGATCGCACCACTGCACTCCAGCCTGGGCAACAGAGTGAGACTCCATCTCAAAAAACAAAAATAAAATAAAATAAATAAATAAATAGCAGGATGACAAGAAAAAACAAGATGATAGCTGTAAAAAATATTGTATCAAATAATAGAAGGAGATCTCATATATAGAGGAGTAGCCTAGTACCTGGCACACTAAATCAGTCTTTACTATGCATATAATCATAATAGTTGTTATAATAGAAAGATCTGAAGGAAGATTGTATCTCTGAATTTATTAAGGGACAAGAAAAAAAATCAGACAATAAGTTGGCATCTTCAGTATAATGAAAGAAGCTTGACCTCTAAGATACAAGCACAGTAAGCAATACAAATAAGTAAAGGAAATATTTCAAGTTTTATAATTCAAGAGTAAATCCTTAAAACTACTTAAAAAGCAGGAAAAGGCAAAAGTGTCACTGCAAAACAAAATGAAATTTCTGACATGCAGTAGATTCCAGAAAAGGTATAAAAATAGTTTTTTTAAAAAATGTTAAACATAGAGGATTTCTAAACAACGATTAGAAGTACAATTTTAAAACTACAGCTAGTTCCAGGTGTGGCTGTATAAATTGATTCTTTCCTGCCCTTTCCCCACGCCATCACACTCACACATTCCATATCAGAGATAAATCATTACACACAATCTCCCCACAAAGAAGTCTGAATCCTCACCAGAAGCTGTGCATATGGCAAAGGGTAAATAAGTTTGCTGACCAGTTGACCTTAGAATAGGAAGATTATCCTTGATTATCTAGGTAGGCTGATCAAATCACACGGATGCTTACATGTGGAAAGCAGAGGTGGAAGGGTTAGCATTAGAGTGATGTGGTGTTAGAAAGATTTGACCAGTCATTGCTGCCTTTGAAGACAGAAATGAGGCACAAGCAAAGAAATGTGGGCAGCCTCTCAAAAATGGAAAAGGAAAAATAAAAAAGGATTCTTCCCTAGAGACCCATTTCTTATTTCTGACCTTCAGAACTATAAGATCATAAATTCGTTCTGTTTTAAGCCACTAATTTGGGGTAATTTGTTATAGCAGCAACAGGAAATGAATACAAGCCGGAATAAATTCCACACAGCACACAAGGCTCTTTGCCTTTTATGCTCACCTTCTGCTCCTCGTCTCTATACTAAAGAGGCTGTCTTCTTTTGGGTCCATTTCATTTTTCTTCTGTATGCTTCTTTGTATCTTTTTTTTTAACAAAAAAAGATACATTTTAAAATGTTTATAATGTTAACTTTCAATACATGCAAAGTGAACAGAAAAGTATAATGAACTCTCATATACCCACTGCCCACCTTCCATGGTTATTAACCTTTTGTGATTCTTGCTTCATCTAACCCCTACCCACTTCCCATCCTCCTCATGTAATCATTCTTCATAGTTTTTTTTAAATGTAAAATGTACATACACAAATCTAAAATTTTAAATGAACAAATCTTCACTATCCCTTCTGACAAATGGATGTGTTCATGTAACCAAGACTGCTATCATGATATGGAACGTTTCCATGTTTCTAGAAAGTTCCCCAATGTTCCTCCCCGCTCTCCATATCTATTTTTCCTGGTCTAGAGTATCATATAAATGGATGCTCTAAATCAAGCTTGTCCATCCTGCAGCCTGCGGGCTGCATGTGGCCCAGGATGGCTTTGAATGCAGCTGAACACAAATTCACAAACTTTGTTACTGTTTCTTAAAACATTATCAGTTTTGACCAGGCACAGTGGCTCATGCCTGTAATCCCATCACTTTGGGAGGCCAAGGCAGGTGGCTGACTTGAGGTCAGGAATTTAAGACCAGACTGACCAATATGGTGAAACCCCATCTCTACTAAGAATACAAAAATATTAGCTGGGTGTGGTGGCAGGCACCTGTAATCCCAGCTACTCAGGAGACCAAGGCAGGAGAATCACTTGAACCCAGCGGGCAGAGGTTGCAGTGAGCGGAGATCACGTCATTGCACTCCAGCCTGGAGTGTTTGTAGGGTACAAAAAATTAGCCAGGCGAGGTGGCACGCACCTGTAATCCTAGCTACTCAAGAGACTGAGGCAGAAGAATCACTTGAACCCGGGAGGTGGAGGTTGCAGTGAGCCGAGATTGCACCACTGCACTCCAGCCTGGGCGACAAAGCGAGACTCTGTCTCAAAAAAAAAAAAAAAAAATTATATATATATATCCTCAGACTAGGGTTCATAGGAAGCGACCGTAAATGTTTGTTAATGAGGATTATAACATGCTTTTCTGAGGGATGGGGAGAGTTTGATAATGATGATGGTGTAAATATGTGTAACTGTAGCTGATTGTTGGCTTCTCCAGGAAACCACAGAGGAAGAGTACAGTGTTAAGGAACTTGGAGATCTCCCAGGCAGAACTTTGCAAAAGCTTTTCTGTAAAAATGTAAATATAAAACTTATGAAATCAATTTTAAACATTTCCATTTCCATTCACATCTCTCATTACCTTCCTTTCTGAAAATTTCTGATTTGCTGGATAATTCTGAAAGGGTCCCTTTTCCTGCTAAGGTAAATATTTTGAGTTTTACCTGGTGAATTGCTCAATTCCTAGCTGAACATAAAATTTTAGTCTAAAGTAGTAAAATTGTTTCACGACTTCTGGATCAGAAAAATATTTTAACATGTTTTTACAAGTAATTAATACACAAGTTCAGAGTACGAAAGGGTTTACAATATATGTAAGTCTCCCTCCCACTCATGAACCACTATCTTCAAGACCTTCCTTGACTCTGCCCTTCACTAGGACTTATCAGCTCCAGTGTTTCCGTGGGTTAGGCATGTAACATAAATGAGTAATGCAAGTGTGTCTGTTGTATAATGTCATATTAAATTGTATTCTTTCAACATCATATGATTTACTTGCATACTTGTGTTCTTTTGCCAAAAAAAAAAAAAAAAAACCCACTCTTTCTCCTTATTTTGGAAATGGCTGACCCTCTCAGTCCTTCATTTTCTCTCACTTTGGATATTGTAACCATCCAACAGGTTCTTCCTGCTCACTGCACAGACAAAATCCATTCACTGAGACCATGGCATTGCAATAGAAAAAGAGTTTAATTGATTCAAGGCCAGCCTACGCAGGAGAACTGGAGTTATCACTCAAATCACTCTCCCTGAGGGCTCTGAGGTTAGGGGGTTTTATGGACAATGTAGTGGGCAAGGGGGTAGGGAATGGGTGCTGCTGACTGGTTGGGGATGAAATAATAGGAGAACATTCCTTGTGTACTGAGTCCACCTCTGGGTGGGGCCACAGGATCACCTGAGTCATGAGTCATAAGTCTCTATGGGGTGAGTCTGAAAGATACCACAAAAAAAACCAGTCCTAGATTCTATAGTAATGATGTTATCTATAGGAGCAATTGGGGAAGTCACAAATCTTGTGACCTCTGGCCACATTGATTCCTGAGCAGTAAGGGACTATAGAAACTATACCTACATCTTAGCACAGTTCAGGCCCCTCTCATGATCCTATTCTCTTGGCCTTTCTTACAAAGGTGGTTTTTGGTCCCTGAGCAAGGAGGTAGTTAGCTTTAGGAAGCGACTATTATAATCCTTTCTTTCCAGTTAAACTATAAACTACATTCCTCCCCAAAGTTCAATTGGCTTAAGTCCAGGAATGACCAAGGACAGCTTGGAGGTCAGAAGGAAGATGGAGTCAACTATGTCAGATTCCTCTTGTCATAATTTTGCCAAGGCAGTTTCAATACAAGTAGTAGTTCCCTTTCCTCTTGATTTTTACTAAGAAAAGTAGAAGCACAAGCTTCATGATAAATAGCAATTGATGTGTTCAATTTCAGAAAGATGAGGGAGTTTGACCTACTGGAGAGGACATGAGTGCCCGAAGGATAAAAGTACTACTTGGCTCCTGGTTCCAAGACATTTTTTGTATATAAGAATTGAAGGTTGATGTTGTTAGGCGTCCTGATATTTTTATGATTTTTTTAAAATTGAAATTTCTTGATTTTTATTTTGGCAACAAATGTAGTTTTTGTTTTGTTTTGTTTTGAGATGGAGTCTCACTCTGTCACCCAGGCTGGTGATCTCACTCTGTCACCCAGACTGGTGAATTTTCTGCCTCAGCCTCCTGAATAGCTGGCTAATTTTTTTATTTTTAGTAGAGACATGGTTTCACCATATTGGCGAAGCTGGTCTCAAATACCTGACCTTGCAATCTGCCTGCCTCGGCCTCCTAAAATGCTGGGATTACAGGCATGAGCCACTGTGCCCGGCCCAAATGTAGTACTATTTTTAAAACACCGGATAGGCCAACACCATTCAAACAAAACAGGTCTGTGGGCTGAATTTGGTCCAATGGTGGCAGTTTTGTTATACAACAGTTTGCCCTCTTCTCATGGCAATACTATGTATATATGGGAGATTATTCGTTATCAGGACATACAGACCTAAAGCATAGGTTTTCATGGCTAGTATGGATGTAATTTATTGTCTAGTTTCTATACATGGACATTTATATTGATTCCAATCTTTTGCCATTTCATACAGTAGAGAAATAAACATCATCATGCATACATCTTTGCATATGTGGGAATGATTCCACAGGATAAATGCCTAGAAGTAGAATTGTAAAACAAGGGCTTCATAAAACATAATGATAACCACATACAAATGGTGATGGAGGTAAGTTTCTCCTTTTTTTGTGGTTAAAGTCTTTTATCCTTAATTTTTCTTTTTTGTTGTTGTTGTTCAAGTCTTTTGGTTTCTCTTATTTTCTAAAATAACAAGGAAGTAATGATTACAAAGACACTATTTGTACAACCCTACAATCCCAGGAAGATCTACAGTTTGCATAGGTGGGTATAGCAAGTTGCTAACTGGACCTGCCATTGAAATAGTCACCACAATAAACAAAGAAAATTCCAAGAGTCCTGCATTAGGGAATTGTACTGCCAGTGACTAGGTCTTCACTTGGTGGTATTGTGAGTGCATGGGTCCAGACTTATGATTCTGACAATTAAGGGAAAAGGAATTTTCTTTATGCTCTGTGTATTTGTGTATGTGTGTGGCATGGGTGGGTTGGGCGTGGGGTGGGTAGCGAGCAGGAGATGAAAGGTGCCTGAGGTAAAAAGGATGCACAGGACCCTTTGATTTTAGTCCCTAAAAATTGGCTTCATAACCTTTCACAGGCCACATCCCTTTTATGGGCTCTAGTTTCCCTTTAAAACATAAAAGGTTTGTGTTGGAAAGGAAAAGGAGTATTTAAAGCCACAAAGCCGACTTATATTACCTAAGGAGAGAATGCAGATAGAGAGGGAGAGGAGCTCAAGATGGCTGGCTGACATCTGGGCCTGCCCAACATTGAGAAATTTGGGAGGGGAGCCAGCAAAGGCGCCTGGGAGCAGCAGTTCCGGACAAAAAGGAGAACGTGACATCCAGAGAGCCAAGAGAAAAAGTGGCTGAAGGAGTGCTCAGCACTGGCATCTCAGCTGAATGCTGCGGCAGGCTCAGGGGCCACAAACAACAGGGAGCTGGTGGAGGCCTTGACGAAGACCATTTCAACAAACTGATGGGCTTAAAATCAAGAAGAAAGTTTGTTTAAACAGTTAATGAACAAATCATTTTGACGCCTTTTATAAACCACACAAGCTTATTCCAAACCCGTTACTGGCCTAATTGATTGAAGTCCCTTTCCGACCTGATCCTCAGAGAGTCTAAGGGACTTGGCCTATCCACGACTCTTCCTCTTGCTTCTCACCTCCCAAGATTGCCCTCAGGATGTGAAAGTGCTTTCAAACAAAGATGCCCAACAAAGAAGCTGGGCAAATCTGCAAGAATTAGTTTGTATTAATCTATTACTGTATTTCACCTTGCACTCTCCTTCGTGCTTCGTGCTTCGTTTCCTTCGTGCTCCCTCAATATCCAACTCTTAATAAATTCATGGCTCCCGGTGAGCATTCACCACTTCTGATTCCACGCCTTTAACCCTTCCCGTCCCCGCCCAACTCTCGCTCCCTCCCCTGGCCCAATCTCCAACCCTCAAGGCTAATTCTGAATTCCAAACCGGAAGCAAGAGGGCGGGGCCACGTGACAGGCGATGGATTGCGCCAGTGCGTTCCCGATGCACTATGCGCATGCGCTAGTCCCCGCGGACCGTTCGTGCTGCCCTCCTAGAAAGGGTGAAGTGGTTGTTTCCGTGACGGACTGAGTACGGGTGCCTCTCAGGCTCTTGCGGAAGTCCATGCGCCATTGGGAGGGCCTGTGCCGCGGCTCTGTGCCCTTGCTGCTGAACGCCTCTTCCTGGGTCATTCCTGGACCGGGAGCCGGGCTGGGGCTCACACGGGGGCTCCCGCGTGGCCGTCTCGGCGCCTGCGTGACCTCCCCGCCGGCGGGATGTGGCGACTACGTCGGGCCGCTGTGGCCTGGTAAGTGCAGGCTCTAATCTGGCCCTGTTAATTCTGGGGCCTCTTGAGAGTGGGGTTGTCTTATCTCTATGTCCAAAATGTGCAGATAACTCTCAGGCCAGGCCGAGCGCAGTTGGAGAATTCCCAGATGTTCTTAAGGACCCAGAATGACAGGAGCCCTGGCTGGGCTGACGTTCGGAGCCGGCTTCAATTCTGGTCCTTGTCTCTGGCCCTATCCAACCCGAAAATTCTGGACGCCTCTCAATCTTGGCCTGTCTCTATTGTCCTTCTGTCTCTGCCCTTTACACTCTTGTGTCCTCAGTGTTCTGTCTTTCTCTGGTTGCCTTTTTTGCCTTTTTTCTGTCCTCTCCATGCCAGGTTTGGCTCTGTCCATGAGTCACCTCTCTCCACATTTCTCCTAACTCTCGCTGTCTTCTTTTTCTTCCATTTCCACGCCATGCGTACATTGCATCTTCAGGTACCTGGGCTCTTCTGTCGGGTAAAGGGGCGTCCGTCTCTTTCCCTAGCCCGCTGATAGGAGTCAGAACTAGAGCAGTGACGCACACGGTGTCAGAGGTGGTGATTCGAGATGCCCTTTCAATAGCAGCTTTTTTCAGTGTGTAGAGAGGGAGACTTGCTTTTTGATGCAAGGTTGTGAACGTGGCACCACCGTTCAATCATTGTTGCTCTGGGCTGGTTTAATTCTAAAAAGAAAATCATAGAAATCTTTTCATTTCTGTGGGTTACTATATGCATTGTAATGAGTTTAAATTGGATTTTATAGGAAATTTTGTTCTAATATCCTTAGATACCTTCAAGCTTAGCTCATTGTTGAAGGCATTTGGTAGGAAGTAATATGCATCAAGCAAAATTGGAAAAACGTGGTTTTCCTGAATTAACTTATAAACACTTGTCTTGAATTTTTTCCAGACCTTTTTAAGTGTTGTAGATAATTTACCGTGTTTATAAGGAATGGAATGTATTTGTTAGTTTTGTTTTGTTTTGTTTTGTTTTGAGCCGGAGTCTCGCTCTGTCGTCCAGGCTGGAGTGCAGTGGCGCGATCTCCGCTCACTGCAACCTCCACCTCCCGGGTTCAAGCAATTCTCCTGTCTCCGCCTCCCTAGTACCTGGAATTACAGGCGCCCATTACCACGCTTGGCTAATTTTTGTATTTTTAGTAGAGACAGAGTTTCACCATTTTGGCCAGGCTGGACTGGAACTCCTGACCTCATGTGATCCACCCTCCTCGGCCTCCCAAAGTGCTGGGATTACAGCCGTGAGCCACCGCGCCCGGCCCAATTTGTTTTATATACTGGAGTCCAAAATGCAGAACTAGACGAGATACAATAGTTAACGGTGTTAGTTAATTAGAATTATTGCATAGGTATTTTTAATCTCACGGAATTTTAGTCTTTGAGTAAGTTCACAGCCCTTGGTATTAAAGTAAGTTATTTACAACCTTTGCATTTCTACTTCTCAATATTGAGCGGGGAAACGTATCTGATTTTCTTTAAAAAGAGAAAAGCCTGCAGAAGACGGCATTCTCTGTTGGAGCGGTTAAGGTGTGTAGGAAGAACTACAAAGATGGAGTTTTAAAACCAACTGATTTGTAAGTGGTATTTATTTAATTGGATGTCATTGGGCTAAATTATTTCTAAAGTTACCATGGATACTATTGAGTCATGGCTTAAAAATGTCTCCTGGTGATGGCACAGTTTAGCTACCTAAAGAAGTAGAGATGTGGGAAGCCAGAAGCCCCAAACTCTGGAATCTGTCTTTTGCTATAGTTCCTTTGCATTTTGTGAAAGAATACAGTTAAATTCCTGCTCCCTAACAGATGAGAGCATAAGCATTTTTTTGACATACATATATAAATGCGTGCTCATGGACATGTGAAAAGATCAATACTAACATTTATTTGGGTGCAATAAATAATTTGTGTAAAATTATTTTTAAAAGAATTACATATCAGGAAATGATATATTGATTAAAAGTGATGGTCATTGAACAAGAGAGTAGTTGATTTCTAGGGGAAACCTATTTTGCATCATATTTGATTTTTAGTTTTGACTGAATATTGAAGTCTGTATTCAAAATTCTTTTCCTTTAGAACTGTAAAGGCATTGCTACATTTTCTTCTAATGTAAGTGTTTGGTGCTGCTGAGAATTCTCATGACAATCTGTTTTTTTCGTCTTCATGATTATCTTGTTTTTCCCTTCACGGAACCTCTTAGGGTCTTTATCCGTTATCCTAAATTTCTCAAGGCTTGGACCAGATGTGGGTTTGGTTTTCTTTTCTTTTGCTACTCACGTGACTTGGCTCACTCAGTGGGCCTTTCCCTTTATCTTTCTTCATTTCTGAGAAGTTTTTTTCTCTTATTTTTTTATTTTCTTCCTTTCATTTTTCCTGTTCTTTTTCTTTCTAGACATCTCTTAGGTGGATAGTGGTCCTCTTAGATTGATCTGTTATGTCCGTGATTTCCAAAATAAGACCTTTACTCGTCGTCTGTTAAAAGGAAAAGCATACATGTACCCTATGTATGTATGCACACTTTCTTATTTTTAAATTATATATGTATCTGTACCAATTATTTACATTGTAAGTCAACCCTAACATAATCTTAAAGGATAAGATACAAAACATACTGCATCTAGAAGCTTCAGTACTTTCTTCCTGAATTCCAGTAGATCCTGTTGTTCATCCCACGGGATGCCTTCCGCCCCCATCCTCCCGCTCCCTTTGGATACCACATTCCCACATCTCTGCATAACTTAACTTTCCTTTTATGTTTTTCACCTTTTTTCTTTGCTTTTTATGTCCTAGGAAATTTCCTTAATTCATTTTATGATTTTACTGTTGATTTTTTTTTAATACTGGCCATTGCAACTTTATTTATTTATTTATTTATTTATTTATTTATTTATTTAACACAGGGTCTTGCCATCTTGTCCAGGCTGGCCTCGAACTCCTGGGCTCAGGTGATCATCTCACCTTGGCCTCCCAAAATGCCGAGATTACAGGCGTGAGCCACCACATTAGGTGGCAACTTAAATTTTTTATTTTTATTTTTCCTTTTAGAGGGCACCTAGCACTGAGTATTTTAACTTTCATTTCCATGAACTTTTAAAAACATTTATTAAACTCTTAAAGACATGTTTAATTCTGTACACTTTCTATTGTTCTTTGATTGCTGTTTTTGAATAACAACAAGGAGTACGCATTGGCATTTTGATGGTATCCTCTTAATAGTCACAATAATAGTTCCCTTGGCATGCTGTATACCCTCAAGTCTTAAATGTTTTGTATGCAGCTATACATTGACAGTGGAATGGTCTTGCTCCAACTGGATCAGCAAGAACATAAAGAATCATTTAGCTGGTACAAAGCTGCGACTTGTGAATTCCCTGTTAACACCAAAGAGACGTGTGAGACTCATAGCGAAACTAAAGATGACTTGTGAGTTCCACACTGAGACCAAATAAGTCTTTATGATGGTGACAGAGAGTGGTGTCAATGGCTAAAGTTTTGGTCAATCTCTCTAAATTGAGGTGCTGACCAAAATGGGGAACTTAACTATATTAGACATAATTTTGAGAAACATGGGTATGTAGATGGTAATGGAGGAAATGGGTGTAGATGAGATTGCCTAGGGAGAGTGAGAAGTACGTTAGGTCTAAGCCCTGATGAGTTCCCAACGTTTCCAAGGTAGCTGAGGATACTGAAAATGAGTGGCCAGTGAGATAGAGGTAAAACTAGAGACTGCCCAAGGAAGAGGAAGTTTCAACAGTGAGGAGGTGTCAGCGTTGTCAGGAATTGCTGAGAGGTTAGATGAAACCAGAATTGAGCAAAATGGCCATTGGAAGCCTGCGGTGCCCTCAGTAAGAGCTGTTTCACTGAAGTGATAGAAATGGAAATTGGGCTGGGCACAGTGGCTCACTCCTGTAAGTCCAGCACTTTGGGAGGCCAAGGTGGGCGGATCACCTGAGGTCAGGAGTTCGAGACCAGCCTGGCCAACGTGGTGAAACTCTGTCTCTACTAAAAATACAAAAATTAGTTGGGTGTGGTGACGGGCGCCTGTAATCCCAGCTACTCAGGAGGCTGAGGCAGGAGAATCGCTTGAGCCCCGGAGGTGGAGGTTGCAGTGAGCAGAGATCGAGCCATTGCACTCCAGCCTGGGTGACAGAGCAATACTCTGTTTCAAAGAAAAAAAAAAAAAAGAAATGGAAATCAGGATGGTTTGGCTTTTATTTTAATAAAATAGCTAGAGCAGGGAAATGGGGTACTTTTTTTTCCCTTTTAAGATGAGAGATAGCCGGGTGTGGTGGCTCACACCTGTAATCCCAGCACTTTGAAAGGGAGGATCGCTTGAGCTCAGGAGTTTGAGACCAGCCTGGGCAACATAGCAAGACCTTGTCTCTACTAAAATTAAAAAAAAAAATTAACTGGGCATGCTGGCACACACCTCTAGTCCCAGCTATGTGTGAGGCTGAGGCAGGAGGATCACACTTAGCCCAGATAGTCGGGGCTGCAGTGAGCCCTGATAATGCCATTGCACTCCAGCTTGGGCAACAGAGCAAGACTTTATCTCAAAAATAAATAAATAAATAAATAAATACCCTGTCTCACAAATAAATAATAAAGATGGGAGGAGAGATTTGACTTAAGATTCCTCAAAGGGCAGGAGGAAAGAGAATTCCAAACAGCGATTCACCTTTAATGGGAGGAAGATCGCTTAATTTTATGGGTAGAAGAGGATTGGT